AGAACTAGGCCGTACCTATCTGATAAAGTACGGTCTGCAACCGTAGACGGGCGTGCACATTGGCAAGCAGGAACAATGGCGAACGTGTCGCGCGGCAAATGTTTTATTCCAGTGAGCAATTATGTCAGTGTACTTAGAGTTTCCACGCGACTCACCGACGCAGCCGGTAGGCAACTTCTGCGTCTGTGAGACATGTCGCACCGCCGGATCCGCTGCATATCGAATTTGCCTAGTTTGACGATACTTCTTTTCCCAATTATGAGTTGGGTAGGTGGCCGTGGATAAGACGAAGCGTAAGTAGGGTTTGATTAATCGAGAAGTTCGGCATATGAATGATTTGAAATTTATATCTATCCTTTAGGGGATGAATTCATTCCATTATTACTTTGTAATGATGACAACGTTATTTAATCGACTGTAACTTTAGAAATGTTTCAAATTTGGAAGCATCCTCTTAACTACGAATATGTTAACGAAGAGAACTCAAAATATCGATATCGAGAATAGGTTCACTCACATCGGTTTTCTTATAATGAAATTCAAGTTAGGAGGAATTGTCAGTCTGAAAGCGGACTTAATGTACAGACCGTCGATGAAACTTCCCCGGTTCATTGTTCTCGTTAGACGTCAGCGTTAATCGAAGGGATTTGTTTCGATTGTGTTTTGGGCATAATTGTTGACAGTGAGAAACAGCAAACACTCTCTCAGAATTGTTGTAAACAGAACACGACGAATGTTGCGCGCACTCCTGTCGACTGCCTTGCGGTATCGATTTTCATCTCTGCTCGACGGTGTTTAATCGCCCGCGTAAGTCTTGTAAATCGAGACCCAGCGTTTCCTTTTTCTCCTTTTCGCAATTTCTTATCAAAGTAGCGATTTTTCAGAGGGAGGTTTATTTCATTTACTCCATGGGGTCGAAGTAATTGCCTTGAACGACCAACATTAAACGTGTCGATCTTATTACGCAGGCTGCCTTTTGAAGTCAACGCTTGGTATCGAAGGAAACACTTTTAAACTCTTATTTATATAAATTAATACTGCGTTCAAATGCTAAGTATCGCTTATTCTGAAGTCTTCTCTGTTCCAATAAAATCCTGTAATCCTGTCACGTGGCACCCTCAGCTCACACATTTTAATCTGAATCGTTGATGCAAACCACGGCAGATACGAATTGTTTATGGCATTCGAGAGCAGCGTTTCGGTGAACGATGCAAAAAGTGTAATTGCCTGACGCGACGTACGGTAATAATATCCAGAAGCTTTGCCGCTAACAAGCCAAGTCCAACAAGGCTGCAGGAAACGCAAGCAAGCACATTATACGTTTTAAAGGTAGACAAGTTCGCCGACCAGAACCTAGGACGAGAATTATGATTCATGCACGAAGTCGGAAAACCAGTCTGATCTTCATACGCCGGGAAGACAATTCGTATACAAAACACAACGGGGTGGCGTTGAGGAGAGGTTTGCGGAATTGAGGGACGTAAGAAGCGCGAGCCAAAGTTTCATCCGTTCTCGCGCTGACTTGCTAACACAAATGGAAACTAACTGTACCGTTATTAGTACTCGTGACAGCCGAAGTAGACTACAAACTCGCGCCACTACTAATTTCGCGCGACCTACATTTTCTATTTCCAAAATTCGCAATGTCAACAACTTTGCTCCACTCTGTAGATCAGGACAATTGTTCTCAGCCGCTATAGCGCGATCATTACTGGAACGCAACTAGCTTTTCGTTAATTCTAAGAGGGACCTGTTTCGACAAGTTTTGATTACTCGGGAAAATTGAAGAATAGTTTCGAAAAGTTTTATCTCAGATAGAAGCCGAGGATAAATGATTCAAGTTCTATAAAAGTGTCAAATGAACCCAGAAATCACAAAGGCTAGGAATTTCATTTGTGACTAACCAATTTTTATCAAATCGACAAACCTTGTCAATTATTGACAGACAGTAAATCTACCAAAGGAAATTGTATAATCGAGAAAATAAATATTCATTTTCGAAAGCAACCATAATTCTCAGATTTCATCGAATAGAGTGCAAGGACTTTCAATACATTGAGGGCACGTGCAAGTTTTGGAACATCTCCCGCGTCCTGCGATGGATATGAACTCTAAAAGCACTTAAAGTGACGGATTTATGAGAATTCCGTGAAACGTCTCACCCCGAGATGTCATCGAACGAAGATGTTGGCGCAATCTAACGGACGAAGTTTGCCCTTATAATGGACGACGGCTGAAACCTAGGGGACAGTTACAAACACAAGCAAAGTTTTGTCCGTTATAATGCCACTTCGCGAAGGCCATAGCTGGCACGTTAGGTCTCCCTTCCTCCTTCGCTGGCTGGCTAATCCCGCGTCCGCTGCATTCTGCAGTTTTGAAACTTTCCAGCGTAACTGCAGTGTCGTAGCTTAAGTGTAGCTGCGTTGGCCTGTATCGCGGTCCACGCTGTGTCGGTATGGATTCGACAATTTATTACACCCGGTTATCCGCATGGTATACGCATTCGCCGTTATTTCGAAGAACTGGATGCTCGTAAATGAGAAGCTTGTAGCAATCTTTCAAAGCCGAAAGAGGGTAAAATTCGTGGTGACCAGGGTTAAAGGAATTCATCTTTTAAGAAAATTGGAAAGAAGAATCTTTTGTGATGGTTTTCTGGAGAAAACGGGATCTTTGGTTCTAAGCTGTTGGCGGAGTTCGGCTAATATAGTCTATTATCTCAGGAGTAATTAAACGTGGTCGTAAAGAATGACTAGAATCAATTTCTGTTTGACTTGATATTTATTACATCTTTAGACACAGATTACTAGGATATAATAATTTTGTCACTCAGAATACTTGTTCTTAATTTTTATAGAATAACAAATGCACCAACACTGGTCGCATCGAGTATGTAATTTATTATTTAAAGCTCCAGGACTGTGACCCAAAGTCGTTTATTTTTACTGCCATTTCTGTACTCAATTTTGTATACACTGTTACGCCGAGGGGTGGTGGTACATCGAGGAGCAGACATTTTAAATAATCAACAAGTGTTTTATAAAAGGAACAAGAACTCAGAACGTTTATTAATAATAACAATAACTCAATCGGTAAACATGTCTGTACGATAGCAAGTCTGGCGACATTCTGCCCAATCAAAAGTTGCCGGTTCTTTTGATAACCGGAACATCCCGACGATCCGCTTCCGCTCGCTCTTCAAAGCGCACTTCAGATCGTCGCAGCATCTTCACGCTGCCGCGACGATGCAACTTCGTAATATTGCGGCATCTTTATGCCGCCGCAACAATACATACGTCAGATTCATTAACGTATTTCAATATCAGAAATGGTTCCTGGATAAAAGAATGGTCATCAATGTACAAACTAAATATCAAAAATAAAAATCCGTCGGAATTAAATCTAGGAGACGAGCAGGTCAACCGATACATCCCTGGCACGGCCTTTCAATCTGTTAAAAAATCGATCGTTCAAAAACTGTCTGGTTATTCCGAGTGAAACGTGACGGTGCACCGTCATATATGAACCACATGCGACGTACATCTGATGGAACTTTCTCCAATATCTCGTGCAATTGATTACTCAAGGAACTGACATAAGATTGACCTGTTATTCCCCTATCGAGGAAAACCACCATTCATCCCTGTCCATTCACTCATGAAATAAAGAAAAATTTATTCAAGTTACTTACTCGTCTGTCTATGCAGTAATATCCTTAACGAACAATACCATATTAACAACTGTATACATTTGTTCCTATTTAATTTAAGTGAATTAAAGTACCGAAAATTTAGCGCTAAATTCAGATTAAAGATTAGAACTATTTAATGAGAACTGTAATGCAGACGAAAAATTCAGTAGAATCAGCCATTACAGGTCAGACAGTGATTAGAGATTTCCGTGGTACAAAAAAAAAAAAACGGTTATAACTCGAGAACAAGATGAAATAGAGCACATGTGTATAGGAACATTTTTCATCGTTATCGTGTCCCCAATTCACCGCCATAGTGGATCCACCGTGTTGCGATACACCTCGCGTAAGGAACCGAAACAATAACTCGAGCGCAAACGAAGAATTAGTGCGGCGCGCAATATTTATCACCGCTTACGGTTCTGTTTTACTTCTATCGGTATTTTCCTGCTCGTTCGTTTGCCGTGGTCATCGCTGTGGCGGTAAACTTTTACGACGGGAAGAGAATGAGAAGGAAAAGTTCGATTGTAGTCCTCGCCGTGGACCTCGATTGGGTCCCTTGTGTGTAACGTCGGGAAACGAAGTCACGTGCCGGTGACGACTTCTGTTCCCGTGGATTCCGCTGGAGAATTTTCACGTGATCGTGGCAGTACGTACCGTTACGAGCCATGCAGCGGTATATTTTGCGGGAACGTTATAGTTTCCAACTCGAAATGAATTTGAAATTCCGCGAGCGTACGGAATCGAGTAAATGAAACAGGTTATTGAAGAGGGCTAGTAAAATCGACGTTCGACTGGCTTTCTGAAATGTCGTGAAAGGCGTCAGTATAATATAATACTAATAATATATGACGGTTCGGTTGGAAAAGTGCCTGGCCATTAAGCATGTTCCTGTATATTTCAATCAACACTTTACCTCTCTTACGTCTTTACTAATCGTCTCTTTACCATGATAAGCCACACTTTCTTATTTATTATAGAGATAGTACGATCTCGTTGTATGCTCACATTAATGGATACAATAAATTTTGTATAGTACTAATGTTATGAAACTGAGCAATATTATTAAATTTAAGTACACATACGTCCAAACGCTACCGGTCGGTAAAATGTTAATAATAATAGTAAATAGACTTCTGTGGAAGTCAAAGTCCAGCAGAAATTTCCAAGTACGAAAATTATTCCCAGTTCCCCATTTATATGGCGTTTAATTTTCGCGTGGCTTATCCCTCCGTTTAAATTTAAAGCGTGGACTATGACAAAGAGTAGATGGATCGTGGGTCTTGCCTAATACCGCTTTGAATCCTTTCAGGACAATGTACCGCGGCGCTGGGTATGGAGAATGGCGAAATCCCCGATGAAGACATATCGGCCAGTTCTATGTACGATCCCAGTCTTGGGCCGAAACATGCCAGGTAAGTGAACAATGATATCGCGAAATGCTCGATTGCAGCCGAGCCAGTCGGCCATTTCGGTTCAGTGTCGGTGTTTACGGTCTGGTGGTCTATGTACCGAATGATTGCGCTCGATTGCAGTTTTACGCATGCCGACTAGAATGCTGGAGATTAATTCTAACTCGAGAAAATCGAATAAATTGATGCCCATTAGTAGAAATTATTACAGTTAATATAATTGTTTTCCAAGTTAAATATAATTTTATCTGTGTGACTTACGGAAATAAATTCTAATATACAGTCAATCCCATAAATATTTGTGTCCTCTATGTCTATTGAAGAAGCTTGACTAAATTGAATAATAGTTTTGAAATTACCAAATGAATTTTTCATTGCAAACATGTATATGAATAAACTTAACATATTTATACGAACGTACACTTGGTAACATCGAACCTACCATTTAATTTAAATAAATTTCTTCAATAAACATAGAGAGTACGAATATTTATGAAACTGGCTATAAATCAACTACCATGAAGATAGTAAAACAAGCTTCGTTAAAATTTGGGTATTAATCGGTTTCTTAATACTTCCGTGTCCCTAACGATGGAATTAAAAAACGATTCTTTTTTTTTGTCCCTGTAATAGATTCCCGTGGCAATAAAATTTCGATTAACCGCGGGTCTCGTCGAAGAGTTTATTTGGTACGGTTTAATAGAGTGCATCGCCGAAAGCGTTTAACTTGGTACGTAAACGCAATCGTCGGTGTGCCCCGTCCGTGAAAATAAATCTTGGCGTTAGGGAGGGTTAAGCTCGATAATTCGACGTTCGCGGCGGGCGGTTAAGCTCTCTAATCGCGTCGAAATTCTTTCTATTTCGCAATCTGGGTCGCGTGACGCGAACGAACGTTTCACCACCATCGCGGCCGGTATTAGCGAGTCCACTAGGTGGTTCAGTTTATTTCTTATTACAACGGCGAGATTAAAATCTCCAAGCTGCCCCGGGGGTCTCTCTCGCGTCCCTTGCCGTGCCTCGGCTCGCATTAAAATTTTAAATGGCACACGGCCTGGAAAGCACGCTTGTAAAATTCTGTTATCGAGAGCTAGAACGAATATCAGATATCGGGCCGCGGATGTGAAAGAACAAAAACGCAGCTTGTAAACTGCTAATATCAAATTAATCGCGTCGACGATAAACTCCCGAGGAGTCATGAAGAAACAACCCTTAGGTCTTAGTTAGCTCAACGTGAACGACACACTGGTTATGAAAGGAAGACGTACATTTTTCATGCAGTGTGTGCATGTTTACTCTAGCGATTGAAAATTACTGTTCATAAAACATTTTTCATATTACAAATTAATTTATTTCGTTAGCCTCTTTAAACGTGAATTACTTTCTTTGCACGTACTAATGTAATTTAATTTTTAGGGTAAACTAGGGTTAAAATTAGTATGGAAAAAATAACACAAAAATCCTGATAGTGTAGTTTTCCAGAAAAACTGGTCTTTCTTCATATGAACAAATAAGGACATTCACCCTAAAGGATAGTGTCGGTAATTTTTAAATTTTGTGTCCTTAATTGTGGACGCCAGATCTGAAAGGGTTAAGTATCCCGTTTAAGTATAGAATTAATTTCGTGAAAGCGACTTGCAAATAGCGACTGAAAAGTCGATTTTCGAACAGAATGGAGCAATGCAACGACAAGGTGTAATCGAATCCGAACGATGCTTGTAAAATTCCAATGTCGACAGCTGGAACGACTATCAAACACCCAACGACGGACAGGAAGGAACAAAAACTCAGCTCGCGAGCAGCTAATATCGAATTAATGGCGATAACGTCGACGATAAACTCCCCAACGAGCGATGGTGAGAAAAAGATGTTTCACGACGCGTGCAGCCACGTTCTGGAGAAAAATCGCGAGGCCAGATTAACCTCGATGCACTCCCGGAATCGAGTGTCTACCGTTTGTCAAAAAGAGCAGTCGTCTTCTCGACGTTTTTACTGGCGATATTGCGATCTTGATTCGTTGGGAACGCCGGACGCCTGACAGCCAAATCGATTTGGCGCATTTACGAACCGAGGCAATTTATGACGGTCGCTCGTAACGCGCCACCGGAAATCACCGGTTGATATCTGTTAATAATGCGTTTCGATATCCGCGTTTCGTGACGGGAGAATCATAATGAAAGCATCTGTTCTCTATACTCGTTTTGTTATTTTCTAATTTTTTGTTTAGTGATCTTTCTTTTTTCGAGGGAAACATGAACGAAGCAACAGCGAGAAACAGCTAAAGCGTCATCGTCCGAAGAAGTAACGACGTCAACACGACGTTATCGTACGATATGAAAGAGGTGACTTCTTTAATGATGGATAGGTCTTCCGAAAAGACATAGTCCTAATCAAAATGGAGAGATGAGGAATGGATGTATTTTTAAAAAACATGTTTTATGGAATCAGCTCTTGAAGACAAGTAGTGCTAAATTTCGGCTAAGCAGGGGTTTACAGAACGTAAAACAAGGCTTGAATTTTCAGCTTTTACTGGAAGCTTAATACTCGTAGAATGGTTGAAATTAAAATAAACATTCTGTTATTTAATATTCATTTATGATACGAGCAGTGAAACAGATTCAGATAAACATTCGAGGCACACCCTGTGTGCAATCGTACGCGAGTCCGGTTCGATGGAACGAGGGTTGTAATCGAGGGAACGAGTGGATGTCGGTGGCGTCGGCGATGGGCGGTTTGGGGGTGGGTGAACTCGACCCCTACAAATTACCGCCAATTTCGTGTAAATTCCTCGTTCCTGCGTCAGCATAATACCTGTATTAGGACGCCCAGCTCCGGCTCTTAGGCGGCAATAAATCTGTATTAGGGCGAGGCGTTGCTTCTCCTGGTAAAAGGGGTACAACCGAGCGGAGCTCGGCTAATTTTTCACCACCAAGTCTCGTTCGCGGCGGCGTCTGGCAAGATTGCCCTAAATACGACTGAGGGCAGCTTAGAAATAATCCACCGTCCCGATATCCTGGCCTCGTTCGGCTTCGATCGCGAATAATCGGGACTCGTCTACCCTTCGTCGCTCCTAATTCTGCCCTCTCCGTCGGCGGATTTCGCGCGACGGCGAATTAGTCGTTCGCGGTCGTTAATTAGGCCGCGACCGGTGCTTCGAATTGTTCCTGGCGGCGTTAATCTTCGCGTTGAATTCCACGAATTAAATATGGAGTAAGCTGATCCTTTCGTGCTCGCCTCTAGAAACCCTAAAGGTTGGTAGGAAGACATACAGGTAATAAACAGATAGATTAATAGCCAAAATAAATAATTGCACGCTACACAAAGTTATTGTTGCTAATTACTCTAACAATAATATTCTGCAACTGTTAATACTAACAAGACAGGAGTAAGGATAAGAATGGCACCAGAATAAAACTGACACGAGAATAAGAAATAGTACTAGGAACGAAAGAGTACAGCATTGGACTGGTCGAGTTCTTTTTCTTGTTAGCGGAAACCGTGTCCGCAGGGACGAAGCTTGCGACCTTTCTCGTTGAAGGGAACAAAATTGTGAACCTTGGGACGACCTGAATATTCATTTCCGGTGGGCGAGAGTTCAGCGACTCTGGTTTCGTTCATCGCGATACACGCGTTATCACGCAGCGATTCTCGCTATGCCGGAACGTGTCACGCCAACGAACGATTATAATTATAGATGGAAGATACTTTTCCATTACGGGGTTAGCTCTGTTATTAAGGTCTTCGTGGTTTGTGAAAGATATCGTTACGTTGCGGATTAATTTGTAAATAGGGTAATAGAGGTAATCGTCGATGCTCGTCCGTCTCAACACAAGCGTTATCCATTACAATGCTTCCAATCTTGAATACAAACTTTGAAACTCAACATTTACAAGTTTGGAGCTTTACAGGAGTACCATTAATTTCTTGTAAAACAAAAACTTTGAGGAAACTGAGAACTTCGACAAAGTAAATATAATACGAATTAATCCTGCCGTGATTTCGGTATATTCCTCCCGAGGTCACCGAGAAAATCAGTGTTTCAAGTCCCACGGGTTCGTAGTGTTTCAATTTCGTCCCAGAAAGCGGTCCATTCATTTGTCGAAGGGGCAATGTATTTAAACTCATCAGAGAACGAAAGTTACATTCGCACAGTTTCCTCGTCCTGCTGGTTGCGAAACAAATTGGGTGAGATTCGTTAAACGACGTCGTTCGCCGGGAATGCAAACGTGTCTCGAAGTTTCAGCGAAAGTAATCGACTCGATTTTCCGACGAGACACTTTCGTAGCGCCCTCGACGCAAATTCTGCGAAGCGGGTTGCGTCTGAAACTATAAGCAACCAGCGCTTCCTACGAACCTGGCTTTTGTCTTCCGTCGCGAACAATGTCGCGTTTCGTTCGGGGCGCTACAACTCTGACCTACATTCGGCTTTGTGCCGGGCATTCTCGATTTTCCAGCGTGAAATATGCACTACATTTCCATCGTATTGTTACCGCACAAAGGTCCGGGAGTTTGGAACCGACGGATTTGTAATCGGCTAAAAAAATTGTTTATCGAAAGAACGCGGGAGTGAAAAAAAAATGCGAGTGTTTGCAGTCCACTCGGCGTGTATACGGCTTTATGCCGGTACACAGAGTCGACTGTTCGTTCGTCAACGTGATATCGCGGCCGCGGAATTTCCACGTCAACGTCGACGGAACAATGTCGCGTCTGAAATTGATTTAAACTTTACATAGGTACTCGTATATGTAGGCTATACTTTTATTTTCATATATATTTTCCATTTTCTAATTCAATTCTTCCAATACTCTGCTCATCCTACAGATTGCTCTATGCTTCGCCATCTTTCCAAGCTCAACATGTTAAATCAGCATGGTTTTTTCCTTTTTTTTCAGCAATGAATGGTGATAGTAGTACATCATGCAAGAGAAGGTGTTGCACCCGGGGTATAGTTAGCCATGGCGCCATCAAGTGTCGAGCCTGTGAGCTCAAAGTCCGCTTACTGACAT